AAGCATAGATATTAGATATGGTCAACCTATCCAGGTTCACATCCGCATAGCCTTTTTCCTTTCCAGTCTCTTCGTGCGGTCTCAACCTGCTACTCGCAGGATAGTGCTTTGGAACGCTGTGCAGGTATCCCCCTGCACAGCAGCACTGGTTGGATCCGTACACCCTGTTCCGCACTCCTGTGAACTCAGGAGGCTACACAGGTTGAATCTCTCCCAACGCACTTCTATCCCAAAGCACTCAGAGAAACTCCACAACCCGTAGAAGCGCGGGAAGTGGTAGAGACCAAATCTCGAAGGGGAAAACTGCAAAATGCGTGGTGAACCCATGGCGTTTATGCCATGTTGCCTGAAGGCCGTCCCTGCTGATCTCATCTGACCAGTTGGCCTTGCTAGGGATCCACTCCCAGAAAAACCCAGCTTTGAGAGCAAAAAGAGTGACATGAATCAAACGTGACATGTACTCTAAATCTGCATTGTCGGAACGACCTCGAATCAAAGCCATGAGTGCCGCTGTATTGTCAATGAACCAGAGTCCTCTTCGGCCACGAAACGATGATGGACGAGAAAACAAGGCATAGAGAACTTGCAGCAACGCCAGTTGGGCAATCTTCTTGTCTCCCGGCTCCCAAAGGTGGTACACCAATGGAGGGATGATTGAAACAAAGGCTTCACGCTGTTAGCTGTGGTCATCATGCCACACTACCAAAAATCCTCCTGTACCTTGGCCTGGGCTTTCTAATGCAGCATCTGAGGCTGCCAGAAAACGTGGCCCTGCATGTGGCCAGATCTCAATTTGCCTGAAGGGTTTGATAGCGATGGTGGTGCGCAACAAGTCGAAGCATCGACGCAACTCCGCAGTTAACTCTAAGGTGCGTTATTGTTGTCTGCGCTTGATAGGGGCCAGGCCTCCACAACCAATGCGCCCCCATACACCAAGCTCAAAGAAATTGGCAACGCCATAAATCTTGGCAGCTACGCCTGGTTGAAGTTTGCTGGAATCCTCAGCATGCTTCATGAGATGGAGCAGTTTGTGCTCGATGCGTTCACGTGCCCAAAACTGGATGGTGCCCTGTGCATGAACTGCATAGCTCCTGGCCCGATCCTTTGCAAGACTTCCTGTCAGTCACATGTGCATCATCAAAATACAAACTCGTCAAACAGAATGCAAATCGACGCGACAAAGCTTCCACCAAACGACTGTATCGATTGAAGGACGTGACGGCCAAAGGGAGACCAAAAAGCAATCCTGTGTAAATCATGAAAGCTGGCCGCTGTATTGTCAATGAACCAAAGTCCTCGTCGGCCACGAAACGCTGAAGGACGTGAAAACAATGCATAGAGGACCTGAAGCAGCTCCAGTTGGGCAATCTTCTTGTCTCCCGGTTCCCAAAGGTGGCACACCCATGGAGGGATGATCGAGACAAAAGCTTCACGCTGTTGTATGTGGTCATCATGCCACACTACCAGAAATCCTCCTGTACCCTGACCTGGGCTTTACGATGCAGCATCTGAGGCTGCTAGAAAACGTAGCCCCACGTGCGGCCAGATCTCGATCTGCCTGGAGGGTTTGATAGCGATGATGGTTCGCAGCAGATTGAAGCATTGACGCAACTCCTCAGTCAACTCTGAGGTGTGTTCTTGTTGTCTGCGCTTGATAGGGGCAAGGCCACCGCAACCGAGACGTCCCCATACACCAAGCTCAAAGAAGGTGGCAATGCCATAGATCTTGGCGGCTGCTCCTGGTTGAAGTTTGCTGGAATCCTCGGCATTCTTCATAAGGTGGAGCAGCTTGCGCTAAATGCGCTCGCGCGCCCAAAACTGGATGGCGCCCTAAGCATGAACTTGAATGAAATCGTGATCGAGTCCCAAAAATGTACCAGAGCTCTGCATCTTCTGGCATTTCTCCTCTGAAAAAGGGGGTTCCCAAAAGGGTGTTGAGCGTTTGCATGGCTCGTTGACCTGAACCTTTGCAAGAGTTCCGGTCAGTCACATGTGCATTATCAAAATGCAAACACGTCAAACAGAATGCAAATCGACGTGACAAAGCTTCCACAAAGCGACTGTATCGATTGAATGACGTGACTGCCAAAGAAGACCCAAAAAGCAAACCTGTATAAGTCATGAAAGCTGGCCGCTGCCATTCGTGATGGAAGAAGGCCACAACACCGCATAGAGCTTCGTCGCTCCTCATGGGATAAAATCTGTAAGCATCAGGCCAGTCTTGGCCACATGACTCCCATTTCTCTGTATGCAAAGGCCGGCTGGCAGTGTCACATCGCCCCAATTGGCCAACAGTAAAAGATGGCTGTGAAGCCCATATCTCGTTGCACTGTTGCTGTGCGAATAGCCTCTGTTGGCTTGCTCCGCACGTGCGCTGTCATCTCGCCCCAGCGTCGTTTCATCTCCGCCGAGAGGCCCATCGCAGGTTTCCTCAGCTCGCTCAGGTCAACTCCTGGCAGGCTTGAGAGTGAAGCAGCAAAACGAAGATCATCATCCAAAATGGGAAGCCCCTCAGTGGGCCGTGGTCGTAAGCTGAGTTTCAAGGAGCATTCAAAGCGTTGGCCTGGCTGAAGTTGGAAGGGCAGCAGTGGGGCCAATGCAGCTGTGTGATCAATAGCGCTCACTTGCTGACCTTCAGCTGTCCTCATCTTCTGCCTCACAGAGGGGGGGCTGCTAAAACTGGATTGCAAATACCTTCCATGTCGAGCCCTTGTTGATGTCTCCATCGAATGTACAAGTCGAGCGGGTGCTGATTCACCAGGTACTCAACAAAGGGGATGACAATACCATCAACCAATCGCCTGGATAGAGCTTTTGGAATGCTAACGCCAAAGACTCCTGAAGGATGTAGAATGGCCCAAAGGGGATACCCGTCGCTTTGGCCACACTTGACAGCAGAACCCTACGGGTAACTCCCGTGTGGCTCCTGCCATGTCCCCAAAATCACGGGGGATCTCCCTGGCTCGGCTCTTGGTAGAACCATCCAGGGCAGCGGCGATAAAGCAAACCGATTGTACTTGATCGTGCAATGATTGCTGCCTGAGGCCGTTGGACAAATCGTGGCTGCTGTCAAGCACCCGATCCACTGAAATGGTTTCCCAACTGCAGAAGATGAATGCTGTGGGCAATGGTGTAAGCTACCTCATAAAAACCGGTGAGACTAATTAGGACAGTCTGTCAAAAACTCATACCCTCGGCTCGTGTCCATGCAGCTTGCACTCACAGATCCCTGTGTAAGCAACTTCATGAAAACCGGTGAAACTAATTAGGACAGTCTGTCAAAAACTCATACCCTCGGCTCATGTCCATGCAGCTTGCACTCACCGATCCCTGGGTAAGCTACCTCATGAAAACTGGTGATACAAATCAGGACAGTCTGTCAAAAACTCATACCCTCGGCTCATGTCCATGCAGCTTGCACTCACAGATCCCTGTGTAAGCAACCTCATGAAAACCGGTGGAGCTAATTAGGGCAGTCTGTCAAAAGAACTCATACCCTCGGCGCATGTCCATGCAGCTTGCACTCACAGATCCCTGTGTAAGCTACCTAATGAAAACTGGTGATGGTGAGACTAATTAGGACAGTCTGTCAAAAACTCATACCCTCGGCTCATGTCCATGCAGCTTGCACTCACAGATCCCTGTGTAAGCTACCTCATGAAAGCCGGTGAGACTAATCAGGACAGTCTGTCAAAAACTCATACCCTCGGATCATGTCCATGCAGCTTGCACTCACAGATCCCTGTGTAAGCTACCTCATGAAAACCGGTAGGGCTAATTAGGACATTCTGTCAAAAGCTCATACCCTCGGCTCATGTCCATGCAGCTTGTACTCACAGTTCCCTGTGTAAGCTACCTCATGACAACCGGCGAGA